GGTAAAGACTAGGCCAGACAGACTTGCAGAGTATTCTTGCTTCGCTTTTCTTTACCATATTTTACAGTTGGGTAAAGCTGCAGGAGAGCGAGTCTGTAGGTTTCTTTTCCTACCGTTATATCAGTGCTATGACTTCATATTCCATCCTTGTTGCTCCTGCAGTGGATTTTGATGTGACACTTTAGACTGAGAGCATAAAATGAACCTCGTGCCCTTCAGTTCTTGACGTTAATAAACCTTTTGACTTGATCTAACTTGATTGTAGAGTCGATTAATTTAATGTTTTTCAGACGTCTAAATTCATTTGCAGCTTAACTGTTTAAATGTAAAAGGACTTGGATTGTTGCACTAACATAACACGGGACAAACTCAAACCTATGGGGTGTCATTTGTGCAATCAGATTAGTGACCGTCACTTTAACAGTGACCAAAGAACCCCAATAATCAGATGTGACTCCCTGTGAGCAAGAACTTGGCGAAAGTGGAAAGGAAAAACTCCCTTTTACCGGAAGAAACCTTCAGCAGAACCAGGCTCAGGGAGCAGCGACGGTTATCTTATTACTTGAGACCAGAAATTAAAATGACTTGATTCTTCATTTCATCTGAAAAGGCAGAATGTGAAGTACTCAAAGGAGTTCAAATACTATAAAAACACGTTTCTCTGCCCCGCTGAGACAGCGATATCAGAGGTTTTATCTGCTTTCATATTGTTGAATGTAACTTGATCTTTTGACAACACAAATCCATGTTTGGCTCTTTCTGCGTTAAAGACCGCACATCTCCTCTCCCCTCACTCGGTTTGTGGTTCTGTGGGCAAACTGTGCATTCAAGAGCTGCTTTCTTTCTTTCTTTGTACGTCCCACAAGTCTTCAGGCATTTAATGTTCACCCTCACCGCTCCTTGTAATAATAATAATATGCACTCATGTTATTGTCCTCCTTTATATCATTCTGCCTTTCTGTACTGTAACTTAGCGTGCAATCATGCCATCCAGCTGAAACGGCCGAGTCGGCTTCTATCAATCGAGGATTCCTTTTGCACCTTCACGTGTACAAAAAGAGGAAAAAAAACAGTCATGTTTTTATCGAATGCAGATTTTCGTTTTAACTGAAAGGTGCATTTCACAGCGGATAAATGAACTGTACAAAGTATTTATGCAATTATAACTGGGTTTAGATTTTCTTTTATATATAATTATTGTGATTTCAGCAAGTTTTGTTACTTGTTGCATGTCTATTAACACAGCTGACTTTCTGTGTCAGTGCATTGTACATGTTTGGCATTAGATTATCTCTCTTTTTTGCTGGATTTATTCTTTTTTTGTTTTTCTTTGAGGCATTGTTTGACGGGTCATACCGAGCGACAGGTTTGTGTACAAAGCCGCAGATCATGACCCCGACTCTGGGTGGACTTTTGTACTCTTTATGGGGGAAAAAAATAATTAAGGATTAATCGAAAGCAAAAAAAGAAAGGAAAAAAAAAAAGAGAAATCTGGATTATTTTGGTGGTCTTGTATTAGACTGCGTTACTACAGTATCTGGTGTGCAATCTGTAATAGCTGAATGTTCCTTGTATATTTGTGTTCACTACATCCTACGAGAGAAAAAACCCACAGTAGAGTAACCTCCCCGTCCCAAAATGTTACAATAATGCAATAGATCTGGTACTTATTCTTTTTCATTTCATTTCAATAAAAAATTGCTGTTTCCCACCAAAGGCATTTGCTTCGTTTCTAAGTTACAGCAACGTCTGAGCTTCTTAACATTTAAAAGATTTAATGACCCTACGCATCCATGACACGCTACTTTCACAGAGGTTAGACAGATCAGTCAGGTTTTTCTTTTTCTACTTTTGGTTCTGTGTGATGTCAGAGGGAGAGGATATGCCTAATATGGTCATGTATTAGGCTACGTTCACACTGCAGGTCTTAAAGCTCAATTCCGATTTTTTGATCAAATCCAATTTTTTTTGTCTGCTCGTTCACACTACAAATAAAAAGTGACAGCAAACGCACTCTAGTGTGAACGCTCAAAGCGGCCGCATGCGCAAAAGAAGACGTCACACACAACGCACTCCGTTTAGACTCAGACCAAACCGTATTGTTTGACTGATGGCCCTTAATATAAAGACTTGTTTCAGACTTTGTTTCCCAATTTTGCTTTAAGTTATAAAGTTATTTTGTTATTTACATTTGGCCTAATAATGATCCTTATTGCTGTTTTAGAGGAGCGGTGTTTCAAAGGATAGTTGCAGATTTCTGTCAGAATCTGCAGATTATACAGTACAAATAAAATGTTCACGTTTCTCCAACGTTGTCTTCCCAACACTTTCACTAACATCTACACTGGATGGCCATGAAGCGTTCACGATGTCTTCTCCGGCGCGGATAATTGGCGTCTGTCTTGTGTCAGTGATGTAAAAGACGGATTTAATGCGACAGGACCGTTCAAACAGCAGTCGATTTCTAAAACATCAGATATGTATCGGATTCAGTACCACATACCAAAGTGACCCAGATCGGATTTGTGCCGTTCACACTGTCACACCATGACCGGATATGGGTCGCATAGGGTCAAAAAAGTCGGATTTGATGCGCTTTCGCCTGCAGTGTGAACGTAGCCTTAGAGAGCCAGTGTGAGCCACACCCTGGACAGGAGAAACTACAGGAGACACTGAAAAGAATTCCCATGATACACTGAGTGCATGTCTTTACTCCCAGCCTTTCACTCGTGCTGTGTTTATGTGCTGCCGTGTTTTTCAGTTCTGTTTACTCTCCTTTAATTTGTGTTTTGTCCGGTCTGATGTCAAAGGTCGCCCCATGCTTCTCTTTTCTCTTTTCAGTCCCCAGGAACAGCAAACAGCAGTGCCTGCCTGAGCTATGTTCATTTCCTCTTGGTGAGGTCTTTTCCTATTCTGGAAAAAAGGAGTTCTTCCTTCCCCCTGTTGCCAAGTGCTGCTCATAAACTAAGAACTAAAACTAAGTTGGTAGAAAAAATACATATGAACTAGACTTGCGACTAGATGACTTGTAGTCTTTGCAATTTGGTCACATTTGTCAGCAGAGCCGGCACTCAGAAGCTTTGATGCAGAGCTTTATTAAATGTACGCACTATTGCCTTTTTTCCTCTTCTGGCCTATTTTGAATCATGATCTTGGCCCATATCTTGTACATAATTTAAAAGAAATTAATTTGCAAAATTAAATTGCTGATGAAGCTTCAAGTTCAACAAATAAAACATCAGTAGAGCAAAAATAAATTAATGGCATCTCTTAATATACGTAATTTTCTGCTTGTGATGATAAGAATTGTGATTAAAGGATTGGGAAGAGCATTAGAGTTTTAATACATGTTAAAATATAGAAATAAACGTGCTGTTGTGATCTGGTGCTAAAACGGTGACCTGAGTGGGACTGGGGGAGTGAAACTAACTTGATTTGTTCGGGATAACAACGAGACTAAACAGGACTGACTGCGGTGCTGAGCTTTACTTTACTGAAATCGGTGATTGGCGGAAAAAATGTTTCTTTTAGCGAACCAACAGCACTTTAAAATTACTTTTTTTAAAAAGGGATTTGTGTTTAAATATTTGTTTTAAGTTGTGCCGAGTGCATTTAGTGAACTGAGCAGAGGAAACAACACCAGCGGGGGTCTCCACAAAAATAGTGCAGGCAGGGGTGTGTCTAAGTGAGGACCCCGGTGCTCACTGGTCGTAGATTACCGCAGCATGTGGCAGAGCTGGTCAGCCCGGTATGGACTGACTGAGAGAGAGAGAGAGAGAAAGAGAGCGTGCGGCACCGCAGCAGACCTGTGTAAAGGCAGGCAAACGCACAACGGAAGTCTCGGTGCTTTTACTTCAAAATAAAAGCTCGACTTTAAATGAGCGTCACCCACAGGCTTTGTGTGAGGGTTTTTTATACTTCTCCGAGGTTTGACTTCAGCTAATATTTGTACTACTAGGATTTCTCCAGGGGTAAACATGAAATGCAGGGTGTAGGCTTGGTTTACTTTGGAGTCTATTTGTCTTTTTCTGGAACACCCATAAAGTTTCCATAGGTTTCTGCAGGTAATTCTATATAATCCATGGAGTGCTTTGAGTGCTCAAGTTGACTCACTGTAAATATGATATTTAATTTCATTAAAGAAAAAAAAAGTTTTGGACAATCTTTTTGATCTGTGCTTCTAAAGTGAGCTCTGAAGTTTAAAAAAAAATGAGGATCTTTGACTAGAAATAGATCCAGTATAAAAACAACAGTTTGGGCAGATCTGTGTTGGGTGAACTCATGTTGACATAACAGAAGACCGAAAGTCCAAAGAAAAATACAAAAATATCTGGAAGAAGGGGCACAAGAAAGGAAGAGAAGGACCAGGGGCTTAAGGAGCAGATGTGGAAGATAAAGTCTAAAGTGGTCCTGGTGTTTACAGCAGCATTAGGAGCTGCAGTGGCTCCAGCAGATTCCAGAACTTCTCTGCACAGAAGAGTGGGAACTGTGCAGAATCATCAAACCCCTGCTAGTAGAGGAACCGAGCTTGAGGATCACAAACATAAACTCCAAGGAGGGAAAGAGAGCTTGTAGGGTAACATGTGACTTTAAACTGACTGTAGGTGTAAATGTGAGTGTAAATGATTTCTCTCTGTGTTAGCCCTGTGACAGACCGGTAACCTTTCTACCTGTGACAGTCAGCAGCTCCAGCCCAACTCTTAATTGAATGAATGGAAGAAAATGGAGATATAGGATTAAAAAAATGAAAATCTACAACATTAGGATGTTTGGATATGTTTTTATATGCTTTAACCTTTATTGAGCAAACCTTGAGCGTCTTTTAGGAAGTCTGCACACGCCGACCAACAGGACTCTGCGTCAAACCATTAAAGGGCTTAAATTTCCAAAGCAAACATCTTAACAGGCGTAAACCAAGAAAATTACATTTTAAGTAGACCTTTTATTTTGAAAGTCCCTACAGAAAGTTGTCTGTCCTTGTTCCGTGAGCTTGTCGGCGGTAGGAGGAGAATAGGGATTGCGGTCATAAACAAACACACGCAGTGGAGTCGGTAGTGTCTGTGGGGCTGTGCAGCAGCACTGGCTGACTTTCAGGGAAGCTGACCTTCTCGACCGGCATCGAGAAATCAGACCGGCTGAAAAAACCCGAACACGAAGAGCGGATTGTCTCCCACTCTCCCTCCCTCCCTTCCCTCGGAATCGGCTTATGTGACACATTCACGTCCCGGCGGAGAAACGAGAGAAATATGACGGAGCTGAGGAAGCGAGGCGGAGGCGGAGCAGACCCTGACAGCGCCGATAATATCAGCGACAAGGTAAGGTGCACCTGAGAACGTGAAAAGACACCATTATCCGTGCGAGACCTCGCCCTGGAAACGAGTCCGGCAGGTTGTCGGAGGCTGAGCCGGGCCGGCCGGGTTGTCAGGTTAGCAGGGGAGCTACATAAGCTAGTTAGTTAGCCGCTTGGCTGCTGTCCGGTAATCCCGAAACAACCGAGACACGGTCACGGAAACGGCTCCGTGCTTTGAAACCACCGTTTGCCTTTTCGGTGTGAGCTCCTCGTCCCTTTCAGTGGCTGTCAGCGGGACAATTTCACAGTGTCACCGTGACACAGACTCATCAATGTCACTCCTGCAGGCTGAAAATTGGATTTGGATAATTACATTACAGTAAACAAACACGCAGAGATCGGAGGGCCTTTAAGCTTCAGTTTACTTTGCTACTCAACACGAGTGATTTTAAAGATTGTTTTGCAGTGATTTGACGTTCAGCTTGTTTATATTCATCATGTGATGTGATGGCTCCACTGATAAAAAAAATCCTATTATATAAACTATACTGTAGAGTACTAGAAAAATAGATTTCTCCATCATTGATCATCCTACCTGAGGTGTCCTCACTCACTTGGTTTGTGGCTTTACTACCAAGTAGTTTGCTTCTGCCACAAATCCCTTAAAGTAGAATGAATTAGAATTTGAGGACAATGTGAAATTAATCTTTAAAAATAATTCTGATCTGCTCAAAATTAAGGCAGCACTTACACTGTAACACACAGCCGTTCAAACTTCAGAGATATCAGTGCAGTTAGGAAGACCAAGCGGTTGTGAATCAATTTCAGGTGCAGTGGTTTTGCAGATCATTGCTCTCTCTTCTCAGTCCTCCTGACTTTTTTTAGTGTCCTTGTCCTTGCTTGTATCTTGAGACCGTAGCTGCAGCCCATTCATGTTGCACAGGTAGTCCAAGATGTGAACAGAGCTGCAGAAGAGTTTCATCCCAGCTGAAACAGAGGAGCAGTGCAGAATGAGGTGTCTGCTTTACAACAACTCGCCTCTTTCAGAAAGCGTGCCGTCACAGCTTGCAGGATATCCAATATCAGAAAAAGAGAGTCAGTCAAGGACTGTGTTTATGCTTCATCAGTGCCAGTGTGTGCACATTTTAGTCAAGGAGCAACTCTTTTAAATAATTATCTTTGTTTATTATGAATGGAGAATTTCTTGGTGTTTCCTGAGGTTCTTTTTACCTTAGCATGCCTGAAATGTGAAGTTATTTATTTTTTATATTTGATTTTTTGCCTTTCGTAACACATGTACTCCTGTGAAAAGAGAAAATAACCAGATAACTGACCAAAACAGTTTAAGTTTTTTTTCTTAAACCCCCCCCACCCCCCTTTCTTTTTTTCCTCTATATCTTTAATAAATGATGAGAAATTCTGTTTTAGCACAAAAACTTGAGCTGTTTTTCTCTTCATTTTGAGACTCTGGTCAGACTGAGGTGAAAATAAACATTATTGATTATTGAGCTCTGCGGCTGTTTGAATACTGCTCTGTGCTGCTGCTCAACACCCAACGTGTTCTTTATTTTGGGTCAATAAGAATCAGTTCCTCCTTTTCTTTTTCTTTTTGTCAGCTGGTTTTCCTTCTGTTGTATGTCACTTGTGATTTGTCAAAAATATCTGAGCCCTTTGTGAGACTGGTGCGATTGTTTCAGTGTAGTTTGTTGCTCACAGGTGTGATTCCCAAACCTAAGAATTACTCATTTTCCTGGCAGTGATGTGATCTAAAATTCATGCTAGGCCAGATATATAAGTCTGCTTAACATGTATATTTTTCTTGTTGTTTGACCCACCTGCAGTATTTCCAAAACATTGTTCAGAACTTCCACGTATAGCTTGTAGCCCAGTTTAGAGTCAAACTTGAGTTGCGAGCTTGAGTTAAGATTATATAAATGGTCAGTGTGTGAGTCACTCATATGTTATATACATCTGTATGTGTTTGGTCCTGGTTACTGTTGCTTAGCTCAGCGTGTTTACTCGTTCTACCTCGCCTCACTCAAAGTGCATTCTTGGGGAGCAGCTGCAATCGGCCGTCTCGTGGAAGTCGACACAAGAGATGTACGAGAAGCAGGCGTAGGCAAAGCGTCACAGAAGACCCAATGAAAACATGATTTACCTGAGCAGAAAGGCACGCGTGTGCTGCAGTGTCTGGTTAGTTACTGGTTGGCATACATTCATAGTGATACACAGATAAGGTTAGCTGGAAATATTTGTCTTAAGGATAGTGATGTGAAGGTTACTTTGAAATCTAATAGCTTTATAGATCACTAGTTACACTGTTCAAATGTAATAACCAATGTAATCAAAGTCATGTGACCTATTTGAATACGTGTAACTACACGTCTGTTTAGTGTTTTAAACTGCACTGAAAGTGCTCGCGTCCACCTGCCTTGGTGGTGGTTAGTTGGTAGCAGGCTTAAAGCAGTGCACGCTGATCTGATTTTACTGTCAGTTGAGAAGAAGCGCAAATTCAAACAAGATCAGCCAAAACTAGATGGCCAGAGTTTGAGTATCAAATGAATGAAGCCTGTCTACACAGAGAGACATCCTCTCCGTGACCGTGTCACCACAGCTTTGTTCACCTACATTATCCTGAAATCTTCTAAGATAAGGCGTTCCTGCACAGCAGAAAGCTGCACAGGAACTGTTATGTTTCGCATAACAAACTGAGTTTTAATTTCATTTTAAGATTTGTTTCCTTACTGAGTAAAATTGTTTATTCCTTACTTTAATTCCTGTCAGTCATGCATGTTGCTAGTTACTCTCACACAGTGCTTCCAGATCAGGCTAATAAGTACTAATATTGTCACCGTTTCGTAGTTTGAGTGCCACAATTTTAGTGTAACAAATCAAGACATCTGTCTGTTCAGGCTTTAGATTATAACATTATGATTCTTTCACACGCGCACACACTTTGTCTGCTCCTGCAGGTATTACAGCTGTCTGAAGATTAGGTTTAGCATTTATTTTTAAAACTTTTACATCTTAACTATGTGAATAATGCCATCTGCAGCTCGTGACTTCCCCTGCTTTGAATTTGAAATTTCAGCAGTTGCTAACCAGCTAGCCCTGGTGCTGACTAACTGTGTTGCCGCTGTGGTCGTAAATCATTCAGCAGCTTCTCAAAAAAGGTTCTTGTCCCCCTGCTTGGACGTGGACGTTACTTCTACTCCAGTGTCTCGTCCTGCAGCTTTTGCAGGGCAGTCCTTCTTTAGCTCTGGAGATCCAGACTTCTGAAACTCACGCGGGCGGGAAACTGGTGCATTCATGGATGGCTGGATCGTGGGATCTGGATGTCTGATGATTCACAGGCAGCGCTTCCTGGTTTTGGAAACGAGCGCTCGCCGTAACTTTTGTTTACAATCCCTAATTTCACTGTAATTAAATGGTTTGACCAATAGTTTACCAAATTTAAGGATACAGATTTTTTTTTTGTTAAAATTTAGACCTGAAAATTTATAAACTGTTTTTTGTAAACGAGAGGTGAGATGAATATCGGCTCCTGTCCACACCAAACACCCGTTCCTGGCTGTTTTCTCCTTTTTCTTGGCACGCATGAAAGATCTGCAGATGGTGACAAATAAAGCCCTCATCAGTCAAATTACACCATGTAAACGCCTCTGTAAGGTAACTGTGAGGCATTCCTAATAGGAAGCAGACGTGCAGATCCACTGGGTTTTAAAAGGCATGAGTCAGGCCTGTGTGTGTCTGTCTTGTTTTGGAGGTTAAAGGATCACTTTGCTGTCACACACCCTGCAGAAACACCCAAACAAAATGTCTTCACATGATCGGTGCTTTATGGAGTCAGCGAAAAGGTGTTTGTTTGGGGAAGCCAAGCCACAAATCCCACACGCACCCATATAGAGTATGTTTATGTATCCACAGCCTCTCTTTGTTCTCTCCAAAGCAAATATTTATTTTCAGTGGTTAGTAAGCAACACATACATCCTCGGTTGTGCTCAGTTCCGGTGTGGTCTGCGTTGTTTGCCGTGCAGCATAGTTAGCAGCTGCTCAGGACTCCACATGATGGGTGACCTTGGCGGGCTGTCTGCTGGCCGGCTGGCCGTCCCCGAAGCCTCCAGCAGCGGTGGCGGTAGCACCGGGACATTTAACGCTCTGCTGATTACAGCTTCATTTTTCTCAGCACTTGTTAGAAATGCTTTTGGACAGCAGGGCACTTTTTGCTCCAGCTGTCAGATAAGTTTGTTTATTTAGTGTTTATTTATTTATTACTTATTATTATTATTTATTTATTATGACAATAATGTCAATGTCGTAATAACTCCATGGCATGATCGCAGACTTTGAATCTAGCAGCGGTTAGATGATCAGAATCATAAAATCGTACCTCAGACCACACATACGGTCTGGTGTAGCATGTGCTCACTGTGTTTGTGCCACGCTTACAGTTGAAGAGATCTTAAATCACTCACATGATGTCAGAAAGTTTATTTATTTGCAACATTTTAGCCTCTGAAGTATAGCTGATTTTGAAAGTCTCAAAAACCCACAAACTAACAGAAGCTAAGTACAGGGATCGTCCAGGATGTTGGGGTTGGTTCTGGTACAGTTAAATCATCAGAGGACTAACAAGTCAAGCTAGTAGCCTAAAAGCACAACGTATCTAGGACTAGGATACTCACTATGGTGACTAATTTACTTGTCATTTCTATGAGAGACAAAAATTAGGCTAGTCGACATAGAGAGAGGGAAAGTTGGGCAAAGCCACCTGGCACAACTGTATCTTTGATGTCTTGAGGCTTTGTGACATTTCTGCACTTGTAGCTACATTAAAATCATACAAATAAAATAATACGTTCACCTGACTGGTATTTCTGGTCCAACTTAATTATACGCTCGTCCAAGACTGGAGTCAGACCTGACGACAGTTCTCTGTCAGAGTTGAGCCTTGCAGTCAGATCAGGCTCAGGCGTTCTGCTGCAGCGCTCTTCCTGTTCGAAGGACATTTTTCCTCCCCGCTGT